GGGATTGTTTTATTCCGGGCTGTCGACCTAGGCTTCGTCGTCGCCACGGTCGGAAAATTTCTGGCGCCACCGCTGCCTACAAGAAATGTTACACGTGAAGAGATATCTCTTATACACATCTAGATGTGTATAAGAGACAGTATTGGATGTAGTTGAAATAATATAAAATAAAAAATAAAATAATAATTGTTATAATTATAAATATGATATAATATAATAATGAATGCAAATTAATAATCAGCAATACCGAATATACCAATGTAGCCCTGATCGATATCGCGACATCGAACAATCGCAAGGAAATGTGAATATCATTATGTTTATTAGATTGACATTTTGAATTTTGCTCTTGCAGAATAATACATATTGATCAACAAATAGCAGCGGTCGTTTTAGTGTGTCGTTTGCTTGTTGACACTTGTGGACATGAATTGCAACGTGATACTGGGGACGTGCCATCTATACCACGATTAGTTTGGCCTGATTGGTTGATCGATAGATCAATTGTTTATACCGCCTCCTAATGACGTCATTAATTGCTAATTATGACAGTCGGTTTATGGATTTTTTGTTAACTGTATAGAAACCGGAGCGTTTTAATGTGATCGAGTGTGTTGAAATGCAAAAACCGAGAGAACGTTACGCGACGCTCCCCGGTCCCGGTCCACTACGTGTAATATTCGCACACAAAAAATTTAACGTCAGTAAATTTACTATAAAAAATATAAATATAACAAGCATAATTAGTTAATGAATTAATTCATTTTGGTTTATTATTTAAAAAAAATATGACACGGCAGTATAAACACAACTGAGTTGAGTCACATAATAATCAAAAGAAACCTGTAGGTTGGTGAGTGAGACACTATATTCTTAATTCCATGGTTCTGCAAAAAGCTTGAATTGTATTTTTTTCAACACATACAAAAACACTCTTTAAGCCTCAAAATGGTGTTAGTTTATATTGATAAGTGTGTTGTCGGGAAAGTGAATGATAAAATCCTAAAAAGTAGTTATAGATATTAGCCTATGAACATTTTAACGATATATATCACTTATTGTCATGTACTGCAATACTTGAGATTACAGTAATACCAAAATAATGCCCTTCGAAACAAATAATATTGATGCATTTCCAAGGCCTCAAAAATATATCTTTATGTATGCCTACACAAATTTGCGAGTCATTTAACGCACTTTGTACAAGACATACATGGGAAACATTATTAGAATAAAGAAAATATATATACAATTTTTAATTGAGAAGAACGATTGCCCTTCTTATACCAACAATGTGCTCACTGACCACAAAAGGTTTATTTTTAGAAACTATGAGATGTGTTTGTGGTGTCAATAAAAAGTGGAATTAAAATGTTTGATAAATGGATTGAAAAGATCAATAATCAGTAATCCATAACGACATTGACTAATGCTACACTTGGAGGTAGGCCTACTGATTGCATGGAAAGTAGGCCTAAACAGTGGTGGCGCCAGTGGGGGTGAGGAAGGGAGGGCCCACGTTGGCAGACGCCACGACGAGGACGTCGGACCAAAAATATTTATTTGCCTATCCCTAATATTGTGGTCTAAAATTATAATGTTACGCTCTACTAAGCTATAAAAATTCTCCCTATGCCCCCTACCAGGATTTTTTTTTTATTCCGGGACCCTGATCCAGGCTCTAGTTGGTCCCTGTCGGACATGTCGGACTCCTCGTCGGCAAATTTCTGGAGCCATCACTGCACTGGGTGTAAACATATTCATTTTTCCTCACCCCTCTTCGATCCACAGCGCAAATTTACCTAAATACCAAAAAGTGTGCATCCAGCCTGTGAGACAATTTTTACATATAAATCTTTTCTACGTCAGTCCAGTAATTTATTTGTTGAATAATATAATAATGAACCTACCTGGATGAATGACAACATTCACAAACGTATTTTGTATACTATTTTCTTTCAACACATAGCATTAGTGAATTGGATTTTTTTTTAAATATATTGGTTAAAAAAAAGAAGGAAACTGTCTCATTGGATGCGCCCCTCAAATGGACAGCTAATACAGGTTTACGTCCATTATATTCTCTATTTCATTTTCGGTTTTGCTCATATCATAGACCTACATGTTACCATCGTTGTATATAAACAAGGTGGTTGAACTAGCCTATAAAGTTGATGGGGTGTGGTAGGGCATTTGGGGTTGTGGAGGCGTTCAACATGGGAGCTCATTTCATACAATGACATAGTATTATCACCGGACAAGTCACGTTCACCCATGGAGTGTGCAAGTTGATGCCGGTATGTGGCAGGTACAACTTCGAAGACGCTTATACTTAATACCGGTACTCCCCCAAAGTGAAATACAGTAAGTGGAATAACGCGAAGCGCATGATAGACCTTGGCAATGTCCTAATATTCAACCAACATATTACTATTATATTGGAATTGTAACAAGCGGGATGCCCCATTTTGCAAAGCATTAGGCACACATAAAGCATCTTAGTTTGAGTGAAAGGTAACTCTTTACCCCTCGATAAATGGCTATATAGCTAGTATAAACTATTAATTGATAGGCCGTTAATTTGCTGATTAGAGAATTCAACTTCAGATAAGTCCCAGTTTACCTCACACCAGTGATAATATTGTCGTTGTTCATGTTGATGATGATGACGGATGATGATGAATGATGATGATGACAACAACGATGGTAATGATGACGACAATGATGATGATGATGACGACGATGGCTGTATTGCTCACAAGTCAGGGGCGGGTGCAGAATTTTTCAAACGTGTAGGGGGAGGGGGCACAACAACATATTCAGAATAGATAAATGAGAGCTCTAATTTCAATACATGCCATGAAAATTTAAAATTTATTGGCAAAACGGTGGGGGACACGTGCCCCCTACTGGATCCGCCCCTGCAAGTGGTGGTGGTTGTGCTAGAAGAAGAATAAAGGGAAAATTAAGAAGATGATGAAGATGAAGAAGAAGAAGAAGAAGAAGAAGAAGAAGAAAAAAAGATGGTGGTGGTGATGATGATGATGATGATTACGGCCAGTGAATATGATGTTATGATTATGATGTTGGTGGTGACAATCATAATCCTGGTTATTGTCAAATTGAAAAATACGATCAACTCAGATTACGTCGGAATCAAGCAGTTCCATCTCAAACATTTTTATTGCTATTGGGGACCACACACGTGACCAATTTTACTAATTCACATTATCTTAAAAACCAAACAGTTATTTGCTAAAATATTTAGAACAATCTCACATTTTTACTACGAAATACTAAACTTTACATTTTGAAGTAAACCAATGCATTTTCGAGTCAAAATCCTTTTGAGGGTAATAAATAATAATACAGGTAATATTATAATGAAAACAATAACTATAGGAGGCCTATTGCACACAAATCTATTACACTATGACAACAACGATAATGAATGATATAGAAAATACAGTATTTAAAAAGGGACATGATGTCAATGCCAGAGCTAATGAGAATGGCTAATGATAAAATAACCGAATAATATGAACACCAGTTGAATAATAGGCCTAGCTAGCTTGTTTCTATTTGTTGACCGTTCTAAAGTAGCTGAGTCAGTTAGAGAGGGAAGGAGGTGCGCTGAATGCATACGGTAGGACTACGAACAATACAAGTCACTATATTGCATGCATTTGCAATATAATGATTCTGTGTTATCCGTGGCAAAGTACAGTATCATTAGCAGCAATACCAGATACGAGATTGTCTTTAACATAACAACGGAGGCCTATAAAATTACGGTCATGCTTATGAATACAGAGCAACAAACGATACAAAACAAGCTAGTGTTGAGTTGTATAAAATTATAGCTACGTCATACAGCAAAACCGGAAAATTAGTGAAATGTACTGCGATAATAAGAGCCTCGAACTTAGTTTTCTGTGTGCAGTTTACCCGGTTTGCAATAGAGCTGCACACGATTTGGCTAGAGGCAAACTTTCTATAGCTTTTATCTTCACATTTTTTAGAATGCTTCTTACTCGTTTGCTATAGGCCTACCTTGTTTTCTTCGACGGTCTATATTAATGTGGAATTATTTGCTATTAGTAACTGTTAAATTGATTGCTCGACATCTGCAGCTTTACTTTATAAAAAACGTCGCCATGCCGAACCTAATTTTCTTTAAATAATAATAATAATAATAATAATAATAATAATAATAATAATAATAATAATAATAATAATAATAATAATAATAATAATAATAAATAATAATAAAGATTTATAATGCGCACATCTCCACCAATGGTGCTCAAGGCGCAGTGTCAATTTCACCACAAAATGAAAAAAAAATCCACATTAATTCCCAGAAGAATTTAGAGCAGAATCCGTATACCAATTTTCATATCGAGGCAGTGTTGCTCCCCATATAAATATGCGCAGATACTTATAAGGAAATATCCAATAGAATGATGTGGCGGAAGCAAATAAATTAAATGTGTAAACATTAGGCTTAATAAGCCTATTATTCTATTCAATATCTTAGCAAGATTCCTAGAATTGCCTTTGTCAAAAAGATGTAGCCAGTACATTGTTCTTCTGTCCGTTATGAAACCATTGTACTGTACTAAATATATAAAAATATCAAATTATAACAAATTCTACACTATCCTAAAGAGTGGCCTGTGTTTCTCAGTGGAAAATATTCTCATTCATAGAGTATTAGTACTTTGTGAAAAGGTGTAGATGACTACGGATCTTGATAAAAAATAAAACTATTTGAGTCCAGATTCTTGAGTCGAATCGCCTTTATGCTCTGGTGTTTTCATGACAATTCAATGCATTCTTTATTTTTTGCTTACCTACATCAAATTTCTATTGAATAATGCAGCGCAATTTCTCTTTAGCTTAATTTATTCTAATTTACATACAATATACAATATATTTCGTTGAGATATAAAATACCAATTGGAGCGGAACCACATTTAATAACATCTTCATTATCTTCAGTCAACCGACTTGTAACCAGTTCTGTCGTTGATGGCGCCAATCCTTCTGCCGACAGCATAAATAATGATAACGATAAGAATAACTACGCCAAGTGTTGCGCCAACGGCAACTGAGACGGCACTTTGAGATCCGACGTTACCTTCTTCGCATTCCTTACCTGTGATTTAAATCAAGTATTAACAAATTAAAATTGACACAACAAAACTTTTTGGTATAATATAATAACATCATCATTATTATCCTCATTATAATTATAAGCATTATGATCTCTCTTATAATCAATGTAAGCGTTATTGATATTATCTTCATTGTCATCACATCATCATCATCATCACCATTAACATTATTATTACTACTACTATTATCTTTGTTGTTTTATTTTCAATTTGTATCATTAAATTATTGCATCGTGTATCTTAAATTATTTGAAATTCTACATTTTACTTGTCATGGCTTTATTTGTAATGATAGTATGTTTTGTTCTCGTCTTTAAAATGATTATATGGTTTGATGTTTTACTTGTAAAATGTGCTCCATTTTAGTTTTATAGTGCCTTTCTTGTACGTTGATTTTAATAAAGATACTAAAAAAAGAAAGGAATTAATGAGCATATTGTTCTAGCGTTGACATAATCACATCATGATACTACGGTATAACTGTTAATTATTCGCTTGCTTTTATGTGGTTTATCTATATTGCACTAAATGGAAATGGAGTGAAATCATCGGCTGTTTGTTTGTATCCCATTAAGATGTACCCATCAGACCCCGTTAAAATCGTCTGTGATGCTATCTCCGATAATGTACGTTGTGGCCTGTAGTTACAAAGTTCCTGCAAAGGCTTACTGCAACATCACGAGCTTCGGCTAGGATTGTTATCGTACTTACAAAAGCAATTTCACAAAACATAAATTTACAATGCGTGCGTATTTTGTACAAATATTATAATATGATTTAGTGATGCATATATAGATATTTAATTTTCTATGTCTTTGTGTTATCGTTACCTATTATTTTTTTAATTCTTTTCCGCATGCATATTTTGTTCTCGATTATTTTGTTTATGATTACCGTAAACTGGGGTAACATTGGCATGCAGGGTAACTTTGGCAGTTCACTACCTGCAAACTTTGTCGGCTCGTTCGGAGGATTTCTATTTATCTGATTGGAGAATGGTTGTTACCAACTTGTTCAGAAATAAATAATTTCATTATATCAAGCTTGATTTTTTTTTTAAAACAATATGTTTTTATAAAAATATAAGAAAGACTTTAGGGGCGTGGCCTAATTTTAAGGGTCATTTTAAAAAATTGCGAATAAATAGAAAAAAAATAAAATCGAAGACAGGCCATATGGTAACGCCCTCTAGTTGTGTCAAATGTAAAGAAAATCGTGTACAAAAGCCTTTACCGATCGTGCATTGTTCGCCAAACTTCTTTCGAAAAATCATAATATTCAGAAAATGTCCAGCCTTTGTTATAGCAACTATTTGCTTGACCTTGAACGGTAAGTCAGCTATATATGAGCTAAAGAACATATTAAGTGTGTGACTATGAAAGAATACTCTGTAATCATGATTTAAAAACATGTTTAAGCTTGTCTAAGCATCTTGCAATGCAGCTAGACGACATACACCATGCATGAGGCATCATGCTGCATGCTTGTGCCTGACCTTTAACTCCTCCAAGTCTAGGCCTAGTCAATTCTCTCTAGCCTAGGCGAGAATGTTTAGCATAATTTAGGGTACTGGACACACCCACAACCACTAAATTATTTATGGATGATGTATTCAGAAGTGTCTATACAAATAATTATCAAAATTATTAATCCTAACTAAAAATAATAGTATAATATTATTTATGATGCCAACATTACTACTAGGCCTAAACCCGGAAGTAAATGTTTTGTTTTTGTTTGGTTAGGTAATATCAACGTAAATTTAAATAGTAGTACATATAAAGGTTTATAC